TCTTAGAAGGGTGCCGCACTATATTGGGGTGGTTACTATATACTCCCCTAAACCTAAAGCCCTAAACCCGAAAACCCTAAAGCCCTAAGACCCTAAAACCCTAAACCCTACAACCCTAAACCCCTAAACCCTAAACCCTACAACCCTAAACCCTAAAACCCTAAAAGCCTAAGAACAGGAATCTGCCCCGAACGCTGGCTCTGGATCCTGCGGAAACTCCCCCCAGTTCTCATCGTCCCAAGGCTAATCCCAAACCACAAGTCTAGGACATTTTCAGGTGGGTAGTTACCGTTATAGGAGCCTTATAGAAGGTCTACATACCTTATGGAAGCCTTTTAGAAGCCCTATATACCCTAAACTCTCCACTTGCTGTAGTTCCCTCAACCCCAAACCCCAACACCCGAACACCCTAAACCCTAAACCCCTAAACCCCTAAACCCCTAAACCCCTAAACCCTAAACCCTAAACCCCTAAACCCTAATACCCCAAACTCCCCACCTGTAGTTTCCTTTAAATAAGTGGGGGTTTCTGAAAATAGGGGACCCTAATCTAGTACCCTAAATAGTCGGATCCTGATTTTCAGGACCCCAAAATAAGGTACCCGAATTTTCTGAAACTCTTCGACCTTTCGAGGCCGTTGTCAGCCTTGCAGTAAACCCGCAAGTTGCTTAGCGTTAGAAGGGTTTAGGGTTTAGGGTTTAGGGTTTAGGGTTCAGGGTTTAGGGGTTTAGGGTTTAGGGTTTAGGGACGGAAAGCCTCATTCAGCCCCTAAAGCACTTAGAAGAACCCTAGAAAGCCAAAACCCGAAACCCCAAATCCTAAACCCTAAAGCCCTAAAACCCTAAACCCCTAAACCCTAAATCCTAAACCCTAAACCCTAAAATCCCAAACCCTAAATCCTAAACCCTGAACCCCTAAAGACCTAAAAGCCCTAAAACCCTAAACCGCTAAAGCCCCAAATCCTAGACCCCTGAACCGAAGATCCTTCGCCGAAAGGGCTGGAGCTTCCCCCGAGCAGCTTCTTGGATGCTCCCCCCGGCTTGGGCTAAGCCAGAGATTCTCGGCAAACCACGGATTTTAGGTTTGGGATTTCGGGTTTAGGGTTTTAGGCTTTAGGGTTTTAGGCTTTAGGGTTTAGGGTTTAGGTTTTGGGATTTCGGGTTTAGGATTTCGGGTTTAGGGTTTAGGTTTTGGGATTTCGAGTTTAGGGTTTGGGGTTTAGGCCCGTTTAGGCCTGTGGGTTTAGGGTTTAGGGGCTTTAGGGTTTAGGGTTGTCATTGCCTGTCACTTCACAAATCCCGGACCCTTGGATCCCTAAACCCTAAGCCCTGAACCTTAGTTTAGCATCAGGGCTCTTCAGCTTCAGGAAAAACAAAAGTGTACTTGGCCAGAGCTACTCGAATCGAGGGGGGCGGGAACTCCACTACAAGAGGTCTCGAGCTTCGATGGGTCTGGTTCAGCCACGGTTAGCCGGGGTTTAGGGGTTTACAGTGGAAGCCCAAAAGTTGGAAACCCAATAGCCTCAATCGTAGTGTATAGGGAACCCCAGCACTATTTGTCCTTAATCCTGTTTCCAACTTTTTGGGGTTTAGGTGTTTCGGGTTGAGCCCTATGGTTCAGGGTTTAAAACTTGTTGATTTGAGGGCTCTGGCAGGAATATGCGAAAGCTTTCCGGCTTCTGACTCAACAAAATCCTGTAACAAACTCATCACAGCTCGAGACAAGATCTTATGGGAATTCTTTGCAAGACATCCCCCTTAAACCCTAAACCCTAAACCCCTAAACCCTAAACCCTCTGCGGAATCTAATGAACGCCTTCACCTGCAGCACTACATAAGAAGCACCTACGCCCGAAACACTAAACCGCCCAACCTGCAACCCTCTACTACGCTAAACCCAACCAACCTTCGAACCGAGCCGAATCTGTATCCGAGGAGACGAGCAAAGCCTAGCTGACTCAAGCGTTCGAGGGCTGCGGCTTCGGCAGTTACATACAAAGGTTAGGGTTTAGGTATGTTTAGGTTGATGGTTTAGGGTTTAGGGTTTTTTTGGTTCCGTTTCTTTTAAGTATAAAAGTCCTGAGGAGGCTCCAGGCTGACATGGACCCCAAAATGTAGCACCATGGTTTATGGTTTGGGCTACCTAGTTTCGAATCATAGGATCCGCGTCATAACATCGGTTCCAGGCAGAAAGGTACTACATTCTGGCGTCTAGGTACAGTGAATCCCAGAAAGTTGGAACATGGGTTTAGGGAGGTTAGTGCTAGGATTCCCTTTACGTTAACTTAAGGGCATGAGGATAGTGATGTTCCAACTTTCTGGCCTCTACTATAAGCCGTCGAGACTTGCGGCTTTTGGTTTAGGGCGTTTGGTCTCGAGATTCGGGCTGCCGGCTCCGGTGCAGGGTTTAGGGTTTAGAGGGCTTAGGGGGTTTAGGGTTTAGGGGTCAGGGTTTCGGGTTAGGCTATAGGGCGTAGGGTTTAGGGTTCAGGGTTTAGGGTTACGGACAGTTTGGGTTTAGAGTGGAGTTTCGTTGACTTGGTGTTGCTTGCTGAATTCGAAGCCCCCGAGCACGATTGGTATGTGTCTCACAATGCTGGCCATGTGAGCACCCCTAAACCCTAAACCCTAAACCCTAAACCTGCTGTGCACGTTGTACATACCTGGCAGGGCGGATCCCTGGCCCACTTAGATGCTGAAGACATCCCAACCTTCCTAACCCTACACCCTGAACCCTAATCCCTAAACCCTAAACCCTACCCCCAAACCCTACCCCTAAACCCCAAACCCTAAACCCTACACCTAAACCCCAAACCCTAAACCCTACCCCTAAACCCGAAAACCATGTCGGGGATCCGCTCTTTGGAGGGACCCTCTGTAGAAACAGCCTACAGGAGACTTGAAAGCCCTCAGCTCCGCCACGAGATTAGCTTTAGGGTTTAGGGTTTTAGGGCTTGGGGTTTTTAGGGTTTAGGGTGTAGAGTTTAGGGTTTAGGGTTTTAGGGCTTCGGGTTTTAGGCTTTAGGGTCGTAGAGTCCTGCTTTCAGCTCGAGCTACTTACCACCCTGATGGAGCTTTGAAGATGTCAGTTTATTTTTGCTGCTGTTGCTGATAGTGTCGTTGTCGCTGCTGCTGTTGCTGCTGCTGCTGCTGTTGTTACTGTTGCTGTTCCTGTTGCTGTTGCTGTTGCTTTTG